GAGGGGGAGGATGAGGGTGGGAATGAGGAATCGACGTTTATCGTCAAACGGGTGTAATTTAGAGGATCTTAATTTGCTCGTTTGCGAGATGGTATTTTAGGTTTCGCACGCACACACACACACACGCACATGCATGCACTAACATGTACCTGCCACGTTTTCCTTCCCATCTTCCTCCCGACTTGTGAGGTGCGACGGCATTGGCTGCGGTGACTGCACCGCCCGCGGCGACGCCGCCGCACTGCGACACGTGGCGCCACCTGCTGCAGCATCGCCGCCTGTGCAGATCAATGGCATATTATAACAACATCCAGCCCGTGACAGAAGCATCAGAGGGTCCGTTAAAAATACTATGAGCACTTGCTGCCAGAGAAAAAAGCGTGCATCAAAATTAACTCATCGATGATAACTTTGGTTCATTAGAAGTTTCTTGGCAGTAAGTATATGCTGTTGAGTGTTGACGTTGAGAGCAGGCAGCAAACTGACTCCCTGTTGGCAGCAAAACTGCTACTTGATCAAAATAAAAACAAACAAAAATCGGTTCCGGCCAAGGTTCTCGGGACCGACATCCGAGACTGACGAGGCAAGCACCAATCACAATCAGCGACCACACGACCAGCCTCGAGAGCATCTCGAGCCGCCAGGGGGCGCCGCACTCACCTGCAGAGTGCGGGGATCGCGGTGTGTGAGGTCGGGGATTGGGCGAACGTGCCGTGTTGTTCCCCTCCTGGTCCGCGAGCCGTCCGTTCTCCTGCGCGCGCGAAAGAGACGAGAAAACAACAGAGCGTCCGTTAAAACAAGGGGGAGACGAATCCGAGTTGGGTCGCTACACAGGGAGAGTTGTACTAGCGGAACGTGTTTCGCGAGTTGTCCCTGAACTTGACCTAGCTCTAACCCTAATCCCAACGCCAACCCCTCACGCTAACCTAGTCCTCCTAATCCAACCTTAATCTCCTCACCAACGGAGTTGTCCCTGAACCTAATCCTAACCTATGATTGTTGGGGGAGGGGAGGAGGTTGGTGAGGCGGTCAGGAATGTTGTTAGGGAGGAGGTTAGAGGAGCTGTTAGAGACGGGGAGAAGGTTAAGCCAAACAAAAAAATAGGTGTGTTTCCTATTGCATCGAAAACAAAAGTAGGGTAGGTAGGTAGGGATTTTAATACAATTCTACAGGTGTTTGCTAATTCGACATCTTACAGGTTATAAATAGGATTCCTCGTTTGTATTCAAAAATCTCAAGTTTTGTCTGTCAGATTTCAAATTAAAAAACCTTTTTTTTTCTTTTTTGGGGAAAAAAGTTTAGGGTCAGCCCTAATAATCTAGGGACGGTCGGTCGACCGGAAACACACCTATTTTTTTGTTTGGCCTTAGCTCGGGGGTTTCTCTCACCTGTAGCTGCTTGCTCTCGCTGCTGTCTGGCTGGCGTAGGTACGTGCGGCCGTACAGGCAGTGCACATATCGCTCCAGCACGTACCAGCCCATCTCGTTGTAGAAGGGGTAGCGGAACTTACCCGGCACCTGCAACGATAGAGATAGAGTGTGTGTGAGAGAGAGAGAGAGAGATAGATAGATAGAGAGGGAGAGAGAGAGATAGATAGAGAGGGAGAGAGAGAGATAGATAGAGAGTGAGAGAGAGGGTGGTGACCCCAGACTGGCTAGTAACCCTGGTACCAGCTCTAGTGTAAACATCAACACGGCTGTAGTCACGTTTCGACTGCCCACTGATATGATAGCAGCGTATATAATAATAATATATATATATACAGCGTATACGTACATGCACACATACGCACGCACGCACGTACGCATGCACGCACAGACACACACAGGCATGCACGCACGCACGCACGCACGCACGCACAAACACACACACATATATTATTATATGTTTCTTCCTTAGCATTTCTTAGCTATCATCATGTGACATTGTCATTCATGTCACTCCATCATTCAACCCTCGCCCAATCAACCACACTCGCCCCATCACACTAACAACAGCACTAACGATGTCACTAATGGTGTCACTAACGATGTCACTAATGGTGTCACTAACGATGGCACTAACGATGCCACTAATAGTGTCACTAACGATGCCACTAATGCTGTCACTAACAATGGCACTAACGATGCCACTAATGGTGTCACTAACAATGGCACTAACGATGCCACTAATGGTGTCACTAAGGACGACGGCAGCGGCAATTACCGGAGTAGCCGTCCGGCGAGACGAGGCCGGTTGCGGTGGCGCCACCCGGTGAGTAGAGTAGTCCATCGATGCCGCGCGTTGCCGCTAGTTCCTTAATGCCCTTCATCTGACGAGGCTGCATGAACAACGAACGACGATAAAATACTCGTTAAAATACACGTCTTCCCCGCCGCCGTTTTTGTTTAATTATTAGATATCGTTATTTTATTTTTATTTTATTTTTTTAATATTGCGATTTTTCATCTATCTAAGATATCTATCTGAGTCGCACCCCCTGATTTTTTTTCTTGAAGTTGTGTAGAAAAAAGTGTGACTTATACATACACGTGTAAATACGGCGATTACCTTGGAGCTGCCACCCTTGCCTGCATGACAACACTCGGGGCATTCCCAGCTGTTGGGTAGAACATCACTGATGATGCCAGCCTCCGAATCCATCTGTAACGAGCCGCAAATAGGAGCCTTAACGAGGCTAGACAGTTAATGAGGCTGGAGCGTTAATGGGGCTGGAGCGTTAACGAGGCTGGAGGTTTAATGAGGCTAGAGCGATAACGAGCCTGAAGCATTTAGGAGGCTGGAGCAATAACGAGGTTGGAGCGTTAACGATCCTGGAGTTCTAACAAGGCTGGAACACTAACAAACTGGAAACGTAAGCGTTAACAGATAAGGAACGGGTTAGGATGCCGGATACAGGTTACATTAGGGTGGTCACTGAAACAGTGCAGAGCGCTTTGTGTAGTGATGGGGCGGACGGACGGACGGACGTACCTTCAGGCATGACGGGTGGACGGACGGACGTACAGACGTACCTTCAGGTATGATGAGAGGACGGNTCCTCCCCACTCCTCCTCCTCCTCCACTCCTCCTCCTCCCCATCCTCCACCCTATCCTCCTCTCACCTTCGTCGCGTCCTCTATGTCCGCGACCCGCAGCTGCGCCGGAATGTTGAAGCTGTGCAGAAAGTTGCCGCCGAAGACGAGCGAATCCTTCGGCGTGTAAACGGCATGGATCCAGGCTGCAAGCATGACAGCAACACACAGGTTTAACGCACGCACGCATGTATGCATGCAACGCACGCACGCACGCACGCACGCACGCACGCACGCACGCACGCACGCGCACGCATGTATGCACACACGCGCACGCATGTATGCACGCATGCGCACGCATGTATGCATACAGACGTAGACATACAGACATGCACACACGCACGCACGCACGCACGCACGCACGCACGCACGCACGCACGTACCTGTGGGGATCATGAGATTGTTTTCTCCCTCCCTCCCTCTCTCACACACATCCACCCTCCCTCCCTCTCCCTCACACACATCCTCCCTCCCTCCCTCTCTCTAACACATCCTCCCTCCCTTCCCTCTCTCTCACACACATCCTCCCTCCCTCCCTCTCTCTCACACACATCCTCCCTCCCTCCCTCTCTCTCACACACATCCTCCCTCCCTC